GGGTGGTGGCATCCCCTGGCGGCGGATCCAGGGCGTGCTCGGCCTCCAGCGGTGGATCTAGGGTGGTGGCGTCCCCGACAGCGGATCGAGGGCGAGCGCGACCGGATCCAGGGACGACGAGCGTGGTTGCTGGCCTCGAGCGGCTCCTCCGGATCCAGCTTCGAGGGCGTCAACCTCCTCGGTGGCGAGCGCGCTGGCCTCCTCCGGATCCGACGTCGATCTCCTCGGCAGCAAGCAATGTTTTCCTAAACAGTAAATGATCTTTACACGGTCACCCTTCGTTTAGCGTTTAGACTGTTTACACGGTGTTTAAACGAAGTTAAATAGTCTAAACGGTTTTATACTTTTTAAAAAAATACATATAATTATATATGTGCATGTAAAAAATCAAGTATTCTAGCATTTATACATATTTATCCGAGTAAAAATTAATTATTTTGGTACGTATATATATTTATGCATGTGAAAAGAACCAAATATAGATATTTATGCATGTAACATATCAAGTATACACATTTATAAATATAATAAACTTAATTATACAAATTTATCCATACAAAACTGAACTAGATTTACCTCGTGTCCGTCTAAACGGCCGTTTAAACAGTTGTTTAGCCCGTTTAATACTGTTTATCTCCGTTCCGTTTAGGCCGTTTAGCCCGTTTTTTCCGTTTTTCACCGTTTAACCGTTTAATTTCCGTTTACCCCCTAAACAAAACAGTTTACCACCGTTTACCGTTTACTAACCGTTTAATCCGTTTAAGCGAACACTGGCGGCGAGCGACGTCGACCCCCTTCCTCTCTCTCTCTCTCTCTCTCTCTCTCGACAGCCAGTGGGCCTCGGGCTGGCACGACCTGTGAAATTGGTCGTGCTTCGCTGGCCAGCCCGGCACAGAAATCGGCCCATAGTGTCGTGCCTGGGCCGGAGGCCAGGCCCGTGGCCCTGTGAGGCACGGCGTGCCGTGCTAGCCTGTTGGCTATCGGGCCGTGCTGGCATGGGCTCAGGCCGGCCCGGACCGGCCCGTTGGCCATCTATACCCGTTGCCTATTTGTGAATTGGAGAGAGAAAAGAGAGCAGCGATAGCGAGGAGAGCATGCAGCAGCTTTTTGCTGTAAAAGTAGCATATAACAGTCGTTTGAAGAACCACTAGCGATGCCTGCATACTGCAGGTAGAAATTGTAGCAGGCATCACAACAACGTGGCCAGCTTCTACAATTTCAAGACCACTCACACCGTGGAAGGGAAACACGTTCCAAATCGGCCACCGCAGTCTCCCACTCAAATCCAGCAGGCTTTTGCAGACTGGTCTTTATCGGGTATGCTTAGGCCGTTTTTGCAGGCGGGCCTAGCAGGTAGCAGGCAATCCTTGAGCGTGACACAGGGCCAAGCCCCACGGGTCAGACGCCTGTTGGCTCGCCTGACCGGTACCCAATCGCCGGCGGTGGTCCATAGCAGTTTTGTTAGCATGTTCAAAACTCAACAAATGTATATGCAGCGATTGCGCCCCCCCCCCCCGGAATTTACAAAATGCCTCCCCATATTCCAATCAAATGGACCACAGGACACAAACATACGCATGTACTAGTCCTCATAGTGGATTTAACTCCTGCGGTATTTAATTACTCTTTTTGTCAATTGATACCCGGTCTGTCGCACCCGGGGACAGGGCCTATTCACATGAACTTATAAGCCGCCTCATCAGCTAAAATCAACAGTATTTTTCTCTCACAACAAAACAACTTCAGCCGGCTATCAGCCGGCTTTAATACCAGCCGTCGTCCCAACCACGAGGCCCCGTGGAGAGTGCCACCACACCTCCTCTTTATGATATTTGCGTTGGGTTACACAGACGTACCCAATATAAAGCATTTCGAACAACTCACTGGTTAACCAATTTAGTCTCCAACATAATTAAAACAACCTTTGATGTTAAAAGCTTCGAAAGATAATGGCCCTGCTCACTTGTCTTATGAGTCGTACTGTTTCAGCGAAGGAACCGTATTTTTCTCTCATAACAAATCATCGAACAGTACTTTCAGCCATGGCTTTTCAGCGAAGCGAACAGGACCAATACTTCAAGTTCGTTATACAGACGGTTCTCCTAGTCGACTTTAAGTTACATTGAGTCACTCATCGCAGCATCAGGTTATAGGCAGCTCCTCTCGGAGAATGCCCGATCCAAGGTTTGCTAACCTTGCATTGGCCTAAGCTAAAACAAGCAAGAGAACAGGGAGCACATGAAAATGTCGCGCGCCCAGAAAAGAATGCGACGGCACGCCAAAATCGAACGTGCCGAGGCATGGCAAGCAACGGAACATGGCCCGCCTTTAACTCCAGCGGCACATCACCCCGGTCCTGGTCCTGGTCCTGGTCCCCGTCCCCCGGGCGCCCTTCCGGACTCCGGAGTCAACGCGTTAACGGGCAGGGGTGCAGCATGCAGGACGAGGAGATGAGGAGAAGTGCCGCGTGAGATGTGTCGGTGCCGGTGCGGAGGCCGCCGGGTCGGTACGCCCCGACCACCGCGTGAGATGTGTTGAGCAAACCAGAATAGGATGCTCTATGTCGTCCATAATTGTTATACTCCGTACATCAAGTTGGTTAGCTTCGTGGCAGTCGTCCGTCAATAACCATACCTTGCGAGACACGAGAGGTATACCTAGCTCTGCCTAAACAATGTGCTGCAATTAATTGTTGGTAAGGAGTATTCCACGCCATGATCTATACTCCTAGGGGTAAATAAATTGAATAATTGCTGTGCTAGCCCTGACATGTACGAGCGAGTGTTTAGTTTATATGTGCATGATGCGTTTGTTTGGTGTGCATGCTCAACACTAGTCTAGTTGCCCGTTTTTCTAATAAGCATGGGCGCTTAAATCGATTGCTCATTTGCGCGTCATCAGCCTCCTCACATGTGTCGGTGCAGGCAGGTGTTTGTTGGAGGCCCCAAATTTTAATTGTGCACGCGCGCGCGCGCGCGACACACAGACATATATTATTCTGTAGCCAATTCAATTTACGATAATTTTATATACTAATTTACGATAATATCAATACATATTTATGATAGTTGCGTTATTATAACACATGGGGATATTTACTATAATGTTATAGTAAAACACTCAGTAAGAAGTTACTATAATCTTATAAATTAACATAGTAATTAGCGTAACTTAAAGTGACTATAGAATAAGTTATTTTGTAGCTAGCGTAGTTATATATATATATATATATATATATATATATATATATATATATATATATATATATATATATATATATATATATATATATATATATATATATATATATATATATATATACACACACACAACATTCCTAGCATGCTGCGCTGTAGTACAGTACTTGCTAGGAATATACGTACGTGTTGTGTTACACTCCAAACTCTCGTGTTCACGTTACAACAAAGCATGCGTGCATTCATTTTCCGAGCAACAGTAAAAACACACGCTTATAAAAATAGTAAACACACACACACACACATGGAGTTGGGATCACAAAGAAACAAATTCTGCTTCGTAGATAAGTGTATACATGCATATACTGACTACTACTAAACTGGCACATGTACGCACATTCGGTATCCTTCTCGTTTCAGCGAATAATTGATGATGTGTTCAGTGCGGATGCGCGCTTCTTAAGGCCTACTAAAAAAATAACTAATTACACAGATTGCGACTAATTTGCATGACGAATTTTTTAAGTCTAATTAGTCCATGATTTGATAACATGGTGCTACAGTAACCATGTGCTAATGATGAATTAATTATGCTTAATAAATTCGTCTCGTGGATTATCGAGGACTTCTATAATTTATTTTATTATTACTATCCGGATACTTTCATGTAGCACCCCAATATAACACCTAATATAACATCCTAGACATTACTTCCTAGATTTAAACACCACCTCAGTCAAAAACTAACTGCCACTTATTGACCAGCCATCAACTTGTCAGCATTCCGGCTTTAGATTAGAGAAACCATTTTTTTTTATTTTGGGTAACCAGCACGAACCAGAGGTTAGCTTTTGGGTAACTAGTGTTCTTGTCTCCCACATTCCAAGTTCTGTTAAGTACTGTAGGTGGGGAAAAGAAACTTTTACTGTCAGAAAAACCCGACTTTACATGGATGGATTTATATTTAATCTACAGACCATAGAATACTAACACAACCAACCCACTACTGACACAAGCATACGTGACGTTGTAGCTGAAGAAAACTATGGCTGGTTCTGGTTGGCCACTTGGCTACCACTTCTGATTCTTTCGGGTCACTGGTTAATAAAAGCGAGCACACCGCCGAGGGTCCATGCTCCTCGTGTCCTCGCAAAACCAGTCAGTCAACCTCTTATATCTCACATGCAACATTCCTCTTCCTGTTTATCACGGTGCAGTGCATGCGTGGGCAGAGTCTGTTCTTTTTTTTTTTGAACACTTCAACGGGGGGTTTGATCCCCACCTGATTTATTGAGGAAAGCTCAAGTTACATGATTACATAGACTTTGTACAGGAGGTTTTCGCTAGGATTTCAGAGCATCTAGACATATTTCATAAGACATATTACATAGGGACCGAGTTGATTGCCATTTGTAAAACCGTGCTCCAATCCTCGGCAACTCGCTTGCTTCTCTTTGGCATACGAGCTTTCCAGTTTACTGATTCAGATTTGTATTGTAGAAAAATGGTTCTGATAGGGATCACTTCATCTCTCAAAACAAACGCATTTCGGTGTTTCCAAAGCACCCAGCAGCACATCATGATGAAGGCACTGTATTGGTCATCGGGGATTCCAGACACTCACGAATGGTGCCGGTTTACGCAATGTAGGCCATCAGCTGAATTCGAGCACCCGCTTTGAAGCGTGCAACGATTGGGCATTCAAAGATTAGGTGATCAAAGCGTCTCATCGTCCATTCCATGAGACGAGGCGGTTTAAGGGGTCCACGATGTTCTTGCGGTATAGGTTTGCCTCGCATTGGATTACGCCTCGAGGAGTAGCCAGAAGAACATCTGAACCCGAGGTGGCGTCGCGTTCTTCCAGATAAAAGCCGAAGAGGGGTCATCTTGATGTCCTTGGGCTTTGAGTAGCCTGTAGATGGCCGAGGTGTCGAGCTTGTCCTTCGTCCGACTAAATGCCGACAACCGTGTGTCCGGTTGATCCGTCAATTGGGTTTGTTGGAGGATAACCTTAAGCTGCTGCAACTCATCATTTGCCTGCGTTGACATTCGATTTACAAAGCAGCCATGAAGGTTGGAGTTAATAGCTTGCTGCACCGTTGAATCTTTCCTGGTGCAATGGGAGAAGAGCCGTGGAAGATGATCTTCCAACGCCTCGTCGCCATTCCAGACATCCGTCCAGAGAAGAGTTGATCGTCCATCCCCCAATTCCACCGTTGTCAGTGCTTGGTAAAGTGGTAGCAGTGACTGAAGTAGCTCCCAGTGATGTCCAAGATTTTCCCCTTTCATGTTTGCAATATCAGCCTTACCCCTGATCCACTTGTGCCCATGCCGATGCATCGGTCTGCGATGGAGGCGGTGGACAAGGTTAAGCAGCAGGCAGATGTTGTGAGTGCCGAAGTCCCTGATTCCAAGCCCCCCAAGTTCTTTTGTCGTGCAAACGTTGGTCCAGGCCACAAGACATTTGCCGCCTGAAAATTCTTTGTTGCCGGCCCAAAGAAAGGAGCGGCGGCGTTTGTCTATCTGGGAGATGGTTTCTTGAGGAATCTGCATTGCTGACATGATGTACACCAGCTGTGCATCTAGGACCGAGTTGATCAAAACGACTCGGCCCATGGTATTGAGTAGGGAAGCTTGCCAGGAGGAGAGGAATTTGTCGGTCCTGTCGACATACGTTGAGAAAGTCGAGATCATTTGCTTTTGAGGCCGATAGAGGGAGGCCTAGGTAGTTTTGAGGGAAAGACTGGTGGGCACACCCCATGATGGTGACACATCTGCTGCCAAGCCAAGCATCCATGTGAATGGGAACTAAGGTGCTCTTGTCTGTAGTTGATTTTTAGACTGTGGCCTCGGAGAAAGCTTGCGCAGGATATTCTTCAAAGCTTGGACATCAAGCAACATCACCCCGAGAACCAGCAGAGTATCCTCTCGTGATACTAAAGAACCACGCAGGGCTGTCACTGTCCACCGGACTCTGACGTCTGTCGCGACCGGATCATAGCCTGAAGAGAGTCACCACGCAGAAGAAAGAGGTAGGGCGACAACGGATCACCTTGTCTCAGGCCCCGTTTGCATGTAATCCAAGGGCCCGGGCTGCCATTAACAAGCACCGCCGATTTCGATGAGTATAGGATATCCCGCATCCAAGCACACCATCTGTCATGAAACCCCCTGGCCTTTAGAATAGTGTCCAAACTCTCCCAAATCACCATGTCAAAGGCCTTCGCAAAGTCTAACTTAAGCACCAAGGTCGGCAGTCTCCTTTTGAAACATCCTCAATTTTTCCTTGAAGGGAAAATTCACAGAATGAATTCTAATATGATAAAACCAAGAACTGATTCCATCATATTATCATATTTCAGTCGATGTCACAGTCATACATCGTAAGATTATAAGAATACAAGATATTACATCACTGGGAAACACACCTATTACAGAGTTAATCTAGCGGAAGACTATCGAGTGAAGGCTCCTCCTTCACGGGCATCATCAGAGTTGGCATAGTGCAGCATAGATTCCATCTCCGAACCAAACTTGAGCGTAGGCACGAGACCTCCTAATCCTTCTAAAGTCAACATCTCTAAGAAGCAGGAAATCTGCACATCGCCAGATGTGTGCAGGCCATGGTCAGCACCGATGAGCTTTAGTGGAAAAGATAAACAAGGGATCTGGCGATCCTAATATTTGGCTGTGGTTTGCATTCTTAGCGCATGAGAAGTAAATAACATGAGTAATATAATAATAATATCCAATTTTTAACACATTCACCACCACACCATCCATATCCATCCACCAACCATCCATCCCAAACCATCTCCACACCACCACACCATATCTCATCTCACACACTCAAGTCGACAGGCCAACTCCCTCTTGGCCTTGTCTCAACGGCCCGCAGCCCCCAAGGCTCATGACCGGAAAATACCCCAACCCTGGAGGGAGGAAAGAAAGACTCATCTCCTATCTAGTTTAAGCGAAACCCAGGAAAGGTCCATAGCCGACAAGTCGGCATATGTATCGATCGATCAACCATACACTCTGCAGAGGTTTTACATACCCACAAGATTAGCCATCCTTGGAGTCTAGAATCTCCTAGGCAGAATTCTGGTCGCTTGCTAGCCTAGAACGATGCCACCCTACCTCTCAGCCCTGGAACATCCCAAGTCTAGTCTGGGATGGCTGATACTGTGAGTTGTAGACAGAGCTGGGCCCTTTGGATGTCAAGAGCCGGGTCCACAAGGCCTCCTGAAGTCTCGGAAGGGTGTGGGGGAAAAACCGCGCGCCCCGTACCTCCTTGCACACGTTCGCCTACCAGTAGTGGCATCGCTCTACCAAGTAGTCCGACCGTCCCGCACCATATAGGGCGAGTGGGATGTAAAGGATTCCCGGTGAGTCTGAGTACTAGTAAATCCTTAGGGATTGACCAAGCCAGAATGTCTTCATAAGGGTTTCCATTGTACGTGCCACCACAACACCTCCACCCTGGGCTCCTCCCATCATAGGTTCACACCCAAGGCCACCTCCAATTACCATTTACCCACCACAGCTATCCCATAACTAAGTGCCCAGGTAGCACCACATGGCAAGACTCGCCCCAGGCTCGTCGTTATTCTAGCTCGGTCGACGCAACCCTCACTCTCCACGCACCCAAGGCACACACGCAGCACGCTCATACACCACCGAGTCTGGCTTCCCAAGCCAAACCATTCCCAGGGGTTCACCACCAGCATCACATCCCCGATATAAGGCGAAGTGGAGTTAATAATAAGTATAGTGGTGTAATATGCAAGCAAGCAGGCAAGTCAGCATGTATAAGTGAGCGAATGCGCAAAGCAGGGTGACATGGTAGAGTGGGTTGCATCAGGGTGATAATGGCTCAGGTAGTAGCATGCATCAATATACTAGCAAATGATTAAATATAAAGCGCTAGCAGTTCTAGATATTATGCAATGTCTAATAGGTTTCTCTAAAAGAGGGTGCTGCCATGACACCTGCGATGTCGAGGTAGTAGTGGTACAAATCTTCGTTAGTCGGTGTAGTCGATCAGCAAGGTCACCTCCTCCTAGATCAACTCCACTCCACAGTCCTGTTGTCAGTCATGTTCTCTTTCTCCCACGGGTTCCGGTCCGATCGACGCAACTACTCCACAGAGCGACACACACTAGGCAAGAGAACAATCAATACTCTAAAAGGCGGCAAGACGCAAGAAGATCAACAACACCGAAGGAATACCAAAAGGAACGACTTAGCCCTCTCGGTGGATGTTCGATCCCTGGGCCAAGAAATGAGAGTGGTTATTTGCTAAGCACAAGCTTAAATCAAGGCCTAGCTAGTACTTCTCGGGTCGATCTTGGTCGACCTGTACGGCTTTGAGATAAATGGCCAAGACCTCAGCTCATCCTAAGCAAACACCACGGCTCGTGGTCCTTCGATCCGGCGTCATAGAGATTGACGTGAATCGAAAGGAGTGGCTAAACAGTTCTAGTCTCTCTTAATCCGTACGCCATTGTAATTGACGAGAACCAAGAAAGGGTGGAACAAGAGAGAAAAGCAGGGCAATGGTCTACTTCCTCCAATACATACACCATGGCAAAGGACGAGGCATCGGAAAGGAGCGACACACAAAAGGACACGAGTGCCCAATCCACTTGTAGGACCTAGGTGCACTAAATGCACTAAGACATCTCTAGGGCTCTTAGCGGTGCGGTTGTCACCGCAAGAACCACAGAAATGCTATGGTCCAATTGGGTACAAACATACAAGGGCTTAAGCACGAAAGAACCAAAAGAGAAGAACACGAGATTCGCCTTCCTTTGATCCACTCGCTATAGAAGTCAATGAGAATCAAGGGAATGGAATCAAGAGCGCAATAAACACCAAACAAGCAAGGGGATCAATCCACATCTCACTGGATCGACGAGGATTGAGAACCAAATGAGAGAATAATGGAATGTGTACTCTCTCGACCAACTTGTCATGGAACGAACGAAGGTTGGAGAGAAGAGGTACAGTCCCATGACCCAAACCAACTCATAGGGCATCATGACCGTGCAACTAAATGGCACAATGCTATTCCCTCGGTTCGCAGCGGTGCGGTTGTCACCGCTTAGATCCGAAGGAATGCTATGGTCAAGGTGGTGCAATCATATAAGGTGGCTAGCATAAACTCAGGCGAAAAGAGGTAGAGCCCGATGGTCATGGCGAGGCATCTCGCGGCCATGAGCTTAACCTACATGAGTTGACATCCGTCTTCTACAATCATCATATCCCGACTCGTCCACTAAGTTAGGCCACAAAGGGCTCATTGTGTGCGGGTGATATCCGCACCAATGTTCAGTCCACAATGACCAAGTCCTAGGGCCGAATCGGATTACTAATAATTGTAGTACGTTGGAGACAACTAAAAGCGAGGGAGCGAGTTATGCTCGCCATTACGGCCACGGTGGGGCGAACTCACGACCGAAATGGTCGAACGAGGTACTATCCCTCGACCGGCTTGAAGGCACGGTCCTTAGGCAAACAAGCACAACATAAGAACAAGAATCACGACAACCCAATATAAGAGCCAAGACACGACCACACGAATGGAGTAGCACATATCCATAGCGAGGGGGGGATGGGTAGACCTGCACAAGGCACGGCGCAGACAGATATAGATAGATCAAGATCACGTATTGTAAGTGTACGAACGAGTATAAGAATGAGCAGGAAGGGGCTTTCGTCGGTGTTAGGAATGACGTTCGACTAGGATTCGACTTCGCGGCAAAGATGTGGAGGCCCAAGGGTTGTTGTAACTTGTCCCGAAGGGCTATGGCTGCCTCTGGCCAGCTACGGCCTACTGTGGCTAGCTGTGGCTTGCTGCAGCTCGCTGTGGCTGGCTACGGCTAGCTGCAGCGTGCTATAGGTGGCCAAGGGCTGGCTGTTGCTGGTCGGGCGTGGCAGCAGGTGGCCAGAGGGTGGCTGCTGCTGTAGGACATAGCTAGGGTTGGCGACGAGGGTATTTGGTCAAGGCGTCGGGGCCATTTGCAAGTCTAAAAGAGAGGTAGATCTTGGTCTCGAGTTTTGCAGCACGAACAGCAAGTGGGGACAAGTCCACCGTGTAGAGCTCGATTTTAGAAAAATGTGGGAACTGGTTTCACATTTTTCTGAGGTCGTATGGATTTTCTATGAATTTCCAAAGGTTAAATCCTTTTCTTGAAAAAGAAAAAGGTAGGATAATCCAGGGCTCGACACGTGGCAGCACGGGACTGGGCCAGGCGCTTGCAGTCACTGACAGGCGGGACCATGTC